TGCTCACGGTCAAATATCATGAATGACCGAGATTCAGCCCCCATTGTAGTTTTCCACTCTTCGGAGATATTGAAATCAGAATTTATTGGTTCTCTAGGTATGGCGGTAATTTCGAATAATTCGTTTTAACGAAGAAAAATTTCCGACTGCTACAGCTGTATCCTCTGTACACATACAATCATATAATTACATCGCAGTTTCCCATCGATCGTCGGTGAAATAAAATTAAAAATAATCGTTGATATTTTAGTCCCTTTTTCATAAAAGTTTAGGGCACCTTGACTATTGCGGGCCGTACCAACTACCAGTATTCCGCGGTTATAAAGACCGTACCAGTTTTCCGTTTACCCTTTAAGACGTGTAAACTACCATAATACAACTTCAAAATAATAATATTATAATTAATAATAATTATCGGTTTCTCGCGGTAGGTTCGTTATTAATACTTCACATCCCACAAATGCGACGTAGTATATCGGGCAGTGTGACTTATAAAGATTTATGCATAGGATATTTAGAAAATGATAGATAGTAAAATATTTAGGAATTCCGAAACCTGCCTTAGGAATTCGTAGGAATGGCGTACTAAACTACTAACTACTAATTATAAGAATAAAAAAAAAACTGGAAAAAAACATTTTAGATGGGGCTGTGGATATGTAGGTACAGAGGTCAGTAGCACGTCACCGACTTATATCGACCAATTCGACCGATTAGCTGACAAATCGCTTTGTCGACATATTATATTACAATACTAATAGTATTCTAGTATGTACACATTTCAAAATAAATTAAATTGATTATATTTTACTGATGGTTAAAAATTATGAACACTATAACATAAATAAATATTATAAACAATCTAATAAACTAATTTAATCTCTTGATTAAATTAATTTGCTGATTTGATTGATTGTTGATTAATCATTATTAAATGTAAGTACATCATGTCAAACCTTCAAAAAACAAAATCACTTAACGAAAAAAAATAAAAATTTCAATAGTACGTTTTGATTCGTCGCTCCTCTATTCAACAACGATTAATTAAATATATTAGTAATTCATAGCTAAAGAGATGACAATTTAAGCAGATTGTAATTAATGGCCCTTGTCACCGATGTTAATCAAGAACAATAAAAAATAAATAAATAGTATTTCCAAATCATAATAAAAAGTACAATATTATAATACAAGTTACAGTATTACTTCAAATAAAAAAATGGGTGAATAAAAAACAATTTTTAAGAGATTAAATATAAAATATATAGTAGTAATGAACCGTAGGCCACGATCGTACACAAACATTTTCGGAAATCGTACCTACAAATTATAAGATACCCAGAACTGCTTTCTACGATGACATATAAATATAAATATATAATGTATATAGTTTAACCGTAGTACGAATCCATACTGCATCTCCGTCGTGGACCTTTAAGTATAGTATAATATAATTCTAAATTTCGGTATGTTACAGTTTTTAAAATAAACAGCATGTCGAATGGTATTATGGCTTTGTCGCCGATCTGATACGTCTTTTCTCGTTAAAAATGTAATTTGACTATCAATATAGTTTATAATACATGTTTTTGAAAAAAAAATTATATACTGCATCAGTATAAAGTATAAATGTAAATAAATAATAGTAACATACGGCTAACCAATATACAGCACACATTATCTAATATACAACCTTTCATGTAGGTACCTACCTAATATTATGTTTTATACTGCAAATTATCATTTGATCGGAATTCTGAAACCAGTTAAGGTCTCTTACAGGCTACAGCTAAGGCTATTAATTTTATGACAGTCAGATATTGGTAAATCGTAATGAATATATACATAATCTTATTAATTATCGTGACTTTTTCACAAGGATGTAACACTATCATTGTTTTTTTAAATTGTTACAAGTCCCTGAATGAGAGAAATTTTAATCAGTTTTATATTATATTGTTTGTATTTTGCGATATCTGTGTTTTGCTAATAATTTATTTATTTTCTTTCAGTATTTATACGAGTATAACTACGTATGTTATATTAACGGTTCATAACCAATATATAAATTTTACATTTTTCTCTTTAAAATTGTTTTTTCTTCACCCTATTTTTTTATTTGTAATTATACATACTGTACGCTACTTGTACAGTATATTGTACTTTTTATTAAGATTCGGCTATACAATTTAGTGGCTACTATTTATACTGATATATGGTTAGATCATTGTTATTATTGGTAAAAAATGAAGTTATCATTATTACGTAAGATAATTATTTAAGACATAATATTACTCAAAAAAAATTAACTTTGGTTTACGATAATATATCGACTTGTATAAAAACATAGATGTATGGTTAAGACCTCATGCAGGGAAAACATTTAAAAATTGGCATAAATTGCCATTACAGAGTTATATTATAAATATTGTATAGGTATACAATGATAGTATTATCAAAGTAGATCATTTTATCTTGTGGGCGTTTTGCAAACGCTGTAAATAATAAACGGCCAAACGGTTAAATAAAAGGTACTGAAATTTAAAATCAAAGCATTGTTTCTACCAGAAAAAGTGTTAAGAAACAAAAAAAATTTATATTATCAAAACAAAAAAATATTTGCCTATAAAAATCAAAATCATTTATTAATAATTTTTTTGGTATAAATAGAAGTTATAACGACGTAGCTTCGTTTCAGAACAAAAAAAAAGCAAATACCTTCAAAATCAGAACTTTAATAATGAGCAATTTTTAAAACTATAGTAAAAATGCGTGTACAGAATTTGAACATTTAGTTTTTGTCGTCGCTCTACTCACGGCTCTCAGAATACCTGTGTTTAGTTATATTAGGTACGTTTTCAGTTATACTTTATTGTGCTTGTAGAACCACAAGTTGTAGGCGTTCACTGAATGCTGCGGTGGGTTATTGTGTTCGCCCAGCCGCGGTTCGTCAATATTGAAACCGTGTCTTTATTGGTCCTCACGTTTTACGCCTTTTAATACGCATTCCTAAAGTTTGATGTTCTCGATCTGCGTGATTATTTCGTTCAAAACACAGAATGACATACATATATTATATAATATAATGGTTCAAATAGAGGATATAAGTCAGGTCGTGGCACAATGATATGCGCAGGTGACACGGTTAAAATATGAAATAATATCGGTAGATATGATGACATTTTTGCGACTCGTAGGTAGGTAAGTGCAATATTTAAAAAAAATTTGATCGACGTTTTTAGAAATACAATGAAACTTCAACGAAGATCGGATGATAATATGTGTTCAGTGCGGTACTTGTTCAAAAGATACGTCGTGCGAGAGCCCGTATACTTTTTAAATTCATAAATTGTATGGGTCGAGGATTCTAAAGACAATACGATAAATACCGTACCTTTGCTGATGTATCTTAAAAACTTATCAACTTTTCCTTGCAATTTTTTTAAGCTATTTTATTGTGCTATCAAATAACATACATGATCAAACCAGAAATAAATAAGTTATTTTTATTAAATTCAAAAAATTTCCTAAATGCTGTACATTTGTTTACAATATGCACTGTTACTAAGAGTTATACTTACAGTCGTTGGTCACCTCAGCTGTATATTATTATTTATTAGTTTATATTAATATTACAACGACACTAAATAAAAATTTCGGTATATTATCTATATATAAAGAAAAGTTACTTTAGCAATAGTCAACGCAGAGCCGAACCTATTTGAGTTATCGAATTGAAATTTTGAGGATGGATTAATATTTAATATTATAATGTCAAGTTCCACTAAGAATGAATTTTTCAAAATTTTGATTTTAAAGGGTTGAAATCGGCACAAATAAATTGTTTACGTACAAATTGTATATCTAAATACATATTTTACAATACGGCGTCAAATGCACAGGTGGATTGTCTACCTGATGAGCTGCAGTACATTGTCTGCGATCCGACGAAGTCGGATTGTTTATCTTGCTACCTAACTTGAATGTAATCGATTTTCACTTGAGGTGACTCAATTGATAGACATTCAAACACGGATTTTAAATTTTGCATATGAAAAAGTACCGGACATACGACGTTGAACCGTATTATTCATTATTGGTATTATTCAATTGCCAATTTTCGTAGGTGATGTGAGATTTCTAGACACTGAAATTGAAATTTCAAATATTCCTGAGTTCGAAACTAGACGTCCAAGCCTTATTAAAAATCCTTATTACTTCCTCAATTTTTGTATTTTAAAAAATTTGGAGCACAATTTAGTATTCTAATTACTATATTTAGGTATTTTATTAATTAATTATAAAGAAAAAAATTACATCTAATATAGTATGTCATTAAAGAATAATAAACCAATGAAAAGTAATTTTTTCCTTGTCTTTATTTTCCTGTAGTCGAGGCTTATTTCAGAATACCATATTTAGAGCATGATTGTAGAGGCTCAATTGTAGGAGGGTACTTATATCGTGTGTATATAATTATAAATATGAAAATAATAACTGCGTAGTATATATAGTGGGTGGAGGGTATTCCAACATTACGATCAAAGCATTCAGTTTTCATTTTTATTCGTAAATTATTCGGTATAGCCAACAGGCTACAGACAATTTTATACGTTTATTACTGCCCGTTGGCAGCAGTGCACCATTTCGTCGACCAAAAACGGCTGTGTTCTCTCAGGGTACTATGCTGTAAACCGACTTCGCTAACAACCCACTATTCGTTCGGTGGCGAGATATCGTAGACCCGTCAAATAATTTCTCCAGTTACATATTATATTGTAATACATATGTGCGAAGCATGTCCATAAACCCAGGCAGCACTGTTTTTCTTTCTCTCTGTTGCTCTCTCGTTTCCGCTCCACGTCGCCGACCAACGCGAGTCTAACAGTTGGCACCAGTCCACACTACAATATTATGGTCACCACAACCTGCGCCATAGCCAAGCATTTATTTCACGCGCAACCGCGCAGGCACACGGCGGCGTTCATTGTTGACCCACTCTCGTTAGCTTCGTCCCGCTCCTCACTACGTCGTCACACAACGAACCGTACGAACAGCTAACGATTACTACATTTATGTTTTATTTAATAGTTCGATAATATTATACATAATAACTATTGTTAACTGCTCAGTGCTCAATCTTATGACTGTCTTGTATTGAACAGCATCGCCGCGGCGTTCACGTCTCTCTCAAAAAAAAAAAACCATGGGAAACACGTGCACTGCATCACTTTTACAACGACCGCCATGTTGGATGATCAGCAAATTGCTATCCCGGTGAACCGTACCGACGACTGCCATGCCGATCAGCCGCCAAAGGACGACGCCGCAGCCGCCACATGCCCAATACAGCCGCTGAAGGACGACGCGTCCTGCCCCATACCGCCGCCGACTAACGAAACCAAAATGTCGGATGTCGGATTGTTGGCAGAGAAAGATGACGCCTCTAGTTGCACACCGCCTCAAAACTATGATGCCATCTTCGCACCGGTGCCAAATACTGACGATGGTCGCACATTGCCGCCAAAGGAAGACGCTAGCTCCGCACCTCCACCGTTGGACGACATTGCACCCCCAGCCTGCCTATCACCGTTGCCTTTGGACGAAACAGTCCTCATTAAGGCCAACAACGTTCTTGAAAACGCTGACAGGTACGACGATGTTTAATAAAATATAATAATAATAATAATAATAAGTAATCATTTTTGGCGCGTAACGTATTCATGTTTATTATCGTTATTGTGTAATATGTTGGTAGTAGGATGTGATGGGTGATTCACGTCGGTGAATCAATTTTTGAATCGATTTAAATCGGAATGAATAAATCGGTGTCAAAAAATCGATTTAAATCGATTCTCATAATCATTTTTGATCACCAGATGCCGTGTGACTTTCTAGTTCTCGCTTCAATTAAAATCGATTTAAATCTACTAGTAGGTAAACACGCGTGTGCTCGGGATACAGCGATATGTTAGCGAAGTATACTACTGAGTTATACTATCGATAGTGATTCCCGATGTTTGGAATGAGCTGTGAGAATGGTCATAAAAGTATATTATGGAACTACCGTTGTGACTGTTGACTTCTTAAAGTTAGCCTATAATCTTAAGTTATATAACTTCTTTCACGGCTTTTCGTCCTAATCCCGGTCCTAATAGTTTCGCTTTTTCTTCCCAAAACTTTCGCAAACCTTTCAAAATTATCCCCTTTCGCCTCCTGTTTACCGCTCGCGACCCCTTTTCGGCGCCGTTCGCGCTCCTATCGCGTTACTCTTAATTTTTTACGGTCGATAGAGTCGGGTTTTCATTCGTTCGCCGCCCGTAGGGCCCGAAACTTCAATCGCAAAAATTGCCGCCGACGGTCGTCCGTCACTCTTATTTCTCGATTCGTTTTGTCTTTTCAATCGCCGCCCGTGCTCCGATCGCAATCTCAGAATTTTTAAGAGCCGCCAATATTCGGTTCGTTTGCGAATTCGGTCCGTAGCCTCCACGGTCGCGTTCACAAACGGAAGTCTGTACCTGTATATATATATATATATATACATGTATACATGTCGTTTTAATAATAAGTAAATTCAACAAATTATATAACATTACGTTGTGTTTATCATTTATTTACGATAATATATAACCTTATGATCGAATACCTTTTGGTCGAACCGTAGGTTTTATTTAGAGGTGGGTCGAACTTAAAAATATGGTCTCGAACCGTACTTTTATTCAACATCTAACCACACCGGCACCATATATTTATTATATCTCATTACCAAGCCAAACCCAAAATAAAATTTTGAATTAAATTGCAAATGGAAGCTTTATACTTATACTTTAGCTTTATACTATATACTCAGTGTTCACATAATAATATAGATAAAAGACTCTTGAACTATATTTCATAATACATTATATTGTGTCCATGTGTACTCCACATTAGTCCACCACATAAGTACACATTATGTACATATAAGTATAATTTTTAACAAGATGTATCAGAATTTGCAGTGTATTCGTATAATGTATGCTACTGATACCTATGTTGATGATCATGCCCTCGTGTATGACATTAATTATAGTTTAAGTATAATAATTTAATTAGATCTTTTATAAATTCCCCGTGATTGTTGAGTTGTTCTAAGTTATATTAAGTTGATAGGATAAAACGAGATTTCTACATAGTGTGAACTAGTTAGAAATTTGGTATCGTTTTCAGGTATGGCAGTTAAATGTATTATTGTATTTAATGACTAATAATAATAACAATAATTCACACAGCTAGATCGTATTAAACGCGGATCAATATGCATGTTTACATGTATCATAACTTAAGACTGGATATTTATGTTATACTAAATGAAAAAAAAAATATTTTTTTTACGATTTTTTAACCGAAGTTCTATTTAAATTGACCACTGACCAGTATTCAAAAATATCAAAATATGAGTATTTACTATAAATTTATAGTAATCAATATTAATAAAAAGTACCAAGATATAAAGGTTACAAACTAATTATTAGTTTATTGACTTACATTTGGTTTCTCTATGTATTTTATTTAGAAATCAGAAATTTAGCACTCTAGCAGAGTGAGCTCTCCCAACTTGTTTTAACCAGAGTTCCATTTTTTCTAAACGTATGTGAAAATTATATTGTCTGAATAGGTATATTATACAAAATACGTAACGAGGTGAAATACCATGTTTTTGGTAAACATTTATTAAATCAATTATATTACTCTAAACCTAGTGAAATAAATTTCTATCGTTGCAATACAAATGTATCATAGAATATAATTAGTAGGTAAATGATAAAAGTAATACTACATTCCCTTCTCTAGTTTTCCACTTAAAATCATTTTTTCGGAGCAATGATTTATCATAGAATTCTAAATAAACTTCTAACATAAACTTGATTTTTTAACAATTATTTTACTAGATTCATTTAAAGTCACTGCTACAAATTTCAGAGAAAAATCAAAAGATTTTGATGAGATAAGGTGACTGATTTCAATTGTGTTTGCAATTGAATATACAACTTTATCATTTTTCTATATATCTGTTAAATTAAATTTTTTACCAAAATTAACAAATTGCTATTTCACTCAAATCTTAAAAAATATCATCCACAGTATTATCAATGTTCCCTATAGTACTTTCAATGCTTTCAAAGTCACCCCTTCATAACTATTTTCTTCACTATTTTGCTATTCGACTTATACTCTGGTCGTGTTGCAGAGTTTCCATCAAATATTATTCCTGTGAATGTAAAACATGTGTCTCAATTTTAAGTATGGCTGAGCTTTCCTACTGGCTCACTATTTGTACTTTCAATATTGGTGTGCTAGTTGCCTCCCGTATAGAATTAAGCAGTTGTTTATAAACTGTACTAATATATAGGTACTTACCAATAAAAATATATAGATTAATGTATATATTATACATAATAATATAATATTATTGTATTATAATTATAAAAAACTAAGTTTACTGTAACAAATACTTAATTTAATATAATCAAGGATAATATTACATAATAATGATCAATATTTGTCTTATGGGTATTTAGATATTTTTCTATTTAATAATATCAAACATTGGGGTTTTGTTTTAAGTCTAAAAAGAACTAATAGAACTGAAGAACTTCATACTAAAATTATTGAGAATAATTTAATTATTCAACATACCTTATAGTTATTTATTAGTGTTATTTTTGATTTTATAATATACCTCCTATAAAGTATATTATAAAATCAATAATATTAGATATGCAGTACTATTCAAAAATATCAGTATATGGGTGTAACACTGTAACAGAAAGAACCGACTCATGCAATAATTTTGTTATTTTTAATTTAGAAACACTTGCACTAGATTTATTGAATACATTTTAGATTCTGAGTGATGAATGTATTGCTCTTATAATGATGTGTTTGGCTTTTGTCTGCAATACAGATTCTGTATACATAATAAATAGTCAAAATAATGCTTCAATTTTCAACTTCAATTACTTTCTAAAGGGAAAGTGAATTATTGCATTTGAGGGATCAAAATTTAAAATATCCTTTGTTTTGCTCTGTCAAAATGCTTGAAAATAAAATATAAGATTCCTAGTAAGTTGTTGTAAGTGAAAATTAAAAAAAATCCATAGTTATTTTTTAAATGCTTCTGAATTTCAAATTCTGATAGTTTTAAAATTATTTTGAGTTACAAATTCCTAAAAAATGTTCTCTTTTAATTCAAGATTTCTCATATGTTTGTCTACCTTTATTAAAAAAAAAAATGTCTTCTGGAAGTCAAATTAAATTTTGATGAGCATTTGAAGTTCCACTTTTTATAACATTGGACCTAACAATTTACCAATTTGTTGTAATTTAAGAACAAATTCTTGTAATTTACACCAAATATTTATTTTGTCATTTCCTGTACTTAATAACATTTTCAAAATATGTTGACTCGTTTTTGAGCTGTTAACTGAAATTTTCATTTTTCAATTTTTTTATTCATTTTTTTGTTCTGTTAATGTAAATAAAATTGTATTCATTGGTCAAAGAGTTTGAAAGTTTACGATAAGGTTCTTGATATATTGTCTCAACAGCAGTAAACAAATATTAGAAACACATAGGCTCAACTTTTTGTAAAGTTCAAATTTTGACTTTTAAATTGAAAATGTACAAATTATTTTGTTGTTTAAAATGTATTAAATGTTTAACTTTTATACCTAAAGATTGAAGATTAAAAACGAGGTTCCACGTAAGTAGGTTGTTATGTAACCAAAAAAATCTCAAAATATTATAAAGGCAGTTTTTTATAATTATTTTTATATTTAAATTTGGACAAAATCACTTATTAAATAACCAAAATAAAATTTGTTTTAATTTTAAGACATTATTTGTGGGTACCTACTTTAAACCTTTTGAGTAAGTTATTGTATACAAAAAAGACAGTATGCAAATAATATTAATTCAACCTACCATATACTGTAGTAATAATAACAATATAATATAATGCAATAATGTAAAATATCGTAGGTGGATAAACCGTCTCAACTCAGAATTGTTTTTAGTATAATACAATGATAGTGAATTATCAAATTCAAATTTAACAACTTCCATTAGAGTACTAACCTAGCAACCTACTGGAGCATTATCCACTTACCAGTTATTTCGTTTATATTTTTTGAAAAATTTTCTTTCAAAATAGCCACTTTGAAAATCAGATTATAAAACTGATGGTAAAAACATTTATATAAGTCAAGTAGCTTATATTTGAATATTTTTTTAAATATTAATTTTTTTTAAATTAATTTTAAACGTAACAACTTTTTTCTAAATATTATTTTTGGTAATTTCCTATCATGAGTATATTTCTTTAATTATTTATTATCCATGTCATTTCCCAAATTTTTTTCTGTAGCGTAGGTACATTTTATCTTTTGTCAGATCTTTCTGTTACCTTCATACACAATTATTATATTATTATTTATATACAATAATATATACTTAGTTAATAGTTATACATGTATACAAATGAAAATATAATTAAAAATAACATTGCAACTTATCAAAACACTTTTAATTCAAGCGATTAGCTTAAAGAAATTGTGCAGACAATTTATCAATGAGTATAATAAATAAAAAAATTGATTGTTTGCAATATATATATATTATATTTATGCGTCATGTAGCATATTGTTTTTAATAATAATTATTATTTTAAAACGTATACTTAAAATGTGAACATTGTGTTTCTAATCTGATAAATGTTTTTTTTTCAGATCGAAAATGCCTAAGCATACCAAAAAGTATATCAATAACTCATTTAAAAATATTACCATGCCACATTTAGTTTTTTTTGATAAGATTAACTCCAAAAGACTTATCAAATTTTAAATGGTGAGTTTATTTTATATTTATATATTATATATAAATAGGTACTAGTGATATCCTACACTACAAATACTAGTAATATTACGAACACTGAATTTCGTACCACGCCTAACTTTTTTTTTAAATTTACTGTATTCATAGAGCATTAAATTTGTTTTTATTTTAAACAAGACTTTTAAAATACATAATTTCGATAAAATGATAACGAATACTAAAAATAATATGTTCAATCCATCAAGAATTTTGTTATATTTTTTATCGTTTTTGCCAAATTCTGAATGATTTGAAATTTAAAATAGATCTTTACAATAGATCTGTAAAAAGATTCACAAAATGTTTACTTTGGTTAAAATTGATAGATTATACTATTTGAAAGCGCCCATTATAACAAACAATCTATCAGAATATATAAATATCCAGGTTACACTTTTTGTTCAATAATTGAAAGTTTAGTCGTATCATTTGTCTATTACAACATTTTTCACGGACCCCTATTAATTCTGAAAGTCATAATCTATATAGTATTGTAATGACAAACAGTAAACATTTTGATTAAACTATATATTAAATTGTACTACGGGCAGACCACGCACTACAGTACAGCCATTCGACTTATCTAATAAACAACTGATTTGATTGAATTTTAGGAAAATTCGTAATTCCACTACTGAGTTACACTTATATGTAATTTATACTTTCAATAGTATTTGTATAGAACTCTTTTATAAGCTATAGTTAAATAACAAATAATACATTTTTCAATACATGTACATTTTTAATAATTGTATGTTTAATATCTCAAAATACTTATTCAAGTTAATAATTTTAATTAATTTTAGTGGCTTACAGAAAAATAAGGTTGACACACCCAAAGAAGATGTTCATAAACTCAAAGAAGATGTAGTACATAGCAAGACGATAAAACATCTAATGACGATACATTGTCTAAAACTGATACAACAACTACAGTCGTTGAGCCTCCTAAAAAAAACCAGAAGTTGTGTACAGATAAAACAGATGTTAATTGTAGCTCCCCAAAAGGGGTAAGTAACCCCTTTTATAGTTTCAAGTTTTGTTGTAGGAAATATAAAAAAATAAGTTGTTTCCAAATGGTTTGGTTGTGGTTTAAACGTTACATGTTCTGAGTACCGTTTTACAGCTTGTTTAAAAGGTTGATGAATTTTCCTTACAAATTTCTTAAATGTTTTCATATGGTTTTCGAAATGAAAACAACTGCTTTCATTACCAGTCACTCTCAACACACATCTCAAGACTGACGACTTTACTACGTCATTAAATAATTAAAGTGGTATAGATCAGCGGTTCCCAACCGTATTAGTTGTGCAGACCACCAATTTTGTAAAAAAAATCTCTGAAGCCCTCTTATATACGTAAGCACACATATATATATACATATACATACGGCAGTTATAATAATAATATAATAATAATATAATAATATACTATGGTTCACGGCCCAGCACCAAGCTGCTAGAGGCCCACAAGTGGGCCGCGGCCCATGGGTTGAGAACCACTGGTATAGATAGCCGTGTCCTGCACAGCGCTCACCACATAAATGGTGTCAGGCGAGGGGTCATACTCAGCGCTCACCACAATCAGAACTCAAGTCTTCATTAGAACCCATTAAGGAAATTGCTTCGGCAAGTACTGAGGAGCACGTGGTAATTGATTGTAAAGTATCAACTGAATCAGCAAATTCTTTACCTATAAATGTAAAACCACTATTAAGGGTCATTCAATTAGGAAAACTAATGAATAAAGGTAAATACATAAATTGGATGAAAACGATAAGAAATCAATAAACCCTCCGTAAGCGGAATTGAATCGTTTCGTAATACCAAAGTAAAAAGTTTTAAGCAGCCTTTATATGGCAACAATCACAGAAGAAGAAACCGCGTCAAAACCGCAAAACTGTAAATTAAGTATTTTAGTAAATTCGTACAAGATACGGTTGTAACTATTGCAAATATAATCAACATTATTTAAATGTCAAACAAATATCATGAAGGACAAATAAATACATTTTCCAAGAAGAGATCTGAAGCAGAAAAACTTGAAGAACGTTGTGATTCGAATCAATTACAGGAAAGACACAAAAATGTCTTAGAAACAAAGTTGAATATATACGTCATATCATCGTTTGGGGAATCAGAATTTAATTCAGTTTTTCAATTATTTTTTTTAAATATGTTATTTGTATTTCGAGTTTTGGAGCAACCAAAATCAAGAAAAGTTAGCTTCTTCAAATATGTGGTACTTTTATTAAAGAATAGTTTGAAAAACAGTCAATATGTCTATCCTAAAATTGTTCTAATGTTCCGGTCAAAGACTTTTAAAAAAGACTGCATTAACTTCTATTGAAGATAGTCTTCTATTTTATTGAAGATTGTGAGGATACTGATCCCGGAGTCACTGACCGCATGACATTATTGTTTATGTCAACAGTATACAGCCTAGAATATTATCAAACTGTTATTGATGCTGTTATCAGGGATTCCAACGAAGACCTAGCATTATAAATCGATAGTGCCACTTTTCAATGTTGCAATGATTTAAAGTTTAAAGATCCTGCAGTTTCATCAACTGTACAACATTCAAATTACATAATACCTGTAACAGAGACTATTCGAAGTCCTATAAACTCTGATGATACAATTCAACAATGGTTTCCAGCCAATAATCCAGACGAATCCAGATGTTATTTGTCATTGTTTTAATAGTTTTAGTTTTTTAGTTTTATTGTTTATATTTTGAAGATCTAGACACCAAACCATTTGGAAATAACTTATTTTATTATATCTTATAACAAAATTGAAACTATGGTTACTGACCCCTTTTGTAGAGCTACAATTAACGAGTATAATTAACAGGGATATTAACATTTGAATGTACTTTATAGATACTTTAGTTACAATTTTATCGTCGTCCATGAAAACTGTTTGTTGGAAGCGTACGATTAAAATTAAAACCCGTACCAAAGGATCTACACATTCTAAGTTAGTGTCTAAAATTAATAATTTATGGCAACTAAATGGTTCATAATAATAATTAGATTAAATAAAACTTACTGGTAAGTTCCATCCGGATTATTGGCTGGGAAGCAGTGTTGAACTGTATCATCAGAGTTTATAGGACTTAGAATAGTCTCTGTTATTGGTATTATGTCATTAGTATGATAAACACTTGATAAAACTGCAAGATCTTTAAACTTCAAACCATTGCAACATTGAAAAGTGGCATTATCGATTAATAATGCTAGGTCTTCGTTGGAATCACTGGTTACAGCATCAATAACGGTTTGATAATGTTTTAGGCTATTTAGTGTTGACGTAAACAATTATGTCATGCGATCAGTGACTCCAGGGTCAGTATTCTCACAATCTTCAATAGACTAGAAGACTATCTTCAATAGAAGTTAATGCAGTCTTTTTTAAATGTCTTTGACCGAAACATTAGAAACATTTTAGGATAGACATATTGACTGTTTTTCAAACTATTCTTAAATTATAGTACCACATATTTGAAGAAGCTAACTTTTCAGGATTTTGGTTGCTCCAAAACTCAAAATACAAATAAAATACTTAAAAAAAAAATCGAAAAGCTGAATTCAATTCTGATGCTGCGAACGATGATATGACGTATATATATTCAACTTTGTTTCTAAGACATTTTTGTGTCTTTCATGTAATTGATTCGAATCACAACATTCTTTAAGTGTTTCTGCTTCGGATCGCTTCTTAGAAAATTTATTAATTCGTGCTTCGTGATATTTATTCGACATTGAATTACTGTTGAATATATTTGCAATAGTTACAACCGTATCTTGTACGAATTTACTAAAATACTTAATATACAGTTTTGTGGCTTGGAAGTGGTTTCTTCTTCTGTGATTGTTGCCATATAAAGGCTACTTAACCCTTTTTACTTTGATATTACGAAACGATTCAATTCCGCTTATGGAGGGTTTATTGAATTCTAACGTTTTCATCCAATTTATGTATTTACATTCATTCATAAGTTTTCCTAATTGAATGACCCTGAATAGTGGTTTTACATTTATAGCTAAAGAATTTGCTGATTCAGTTGATACTTTACAATCAA